CCAAAGATTTGGTGTGTTGTGCTCTCAATTTCTGTGTCTTGCGAAGAACTAAATGAAGTAAAATAGTTTCATCCAGGGGAAATCTTTCAACTATAAAAGTCAAGATTATCCAATTCGTTGCTCATTCAGAAGCAAAAGAGTCATGAGATACGAGATCAATTATCCCTGAGCCAGTATAGTTAAAAATCAATTGATGTGAGGAAAGAGGGAAGTGATACTGGCCAAATTGTATCGTTGCACTGTGTGCATGTACAAATATGTAACAACAAATCCCATCAATATGTACAACTATAATGCACCAATAAAAAATGTGGAAAAAAAATTAACCGATTTCCAAGAAGGGTAGATTGGATACAAGGATTTACTCCTACTCCTTTCTAATATAAAAGTAAAGGGATTTGATTTTACTCTTTTCAAGGTATAAAGCTGCTGAGACAGTAAGAATATGAGGAAAGAATTGTTTCAGAACTTGGAAGGTAAACAGAACTGAATCCTGAAATGAGAGTGGACAGAGCCAAGACCAACCCAATTTTTACCACAGAATCCTCAAAACACTCTGGTGGCATTACTGGCAGTAAGGGGCAGTGGAGGGGAATAATTAAAATATGGTGAATATTTTGAGTGCTCTTGAAGGGGCAGCTAGAACCCCCAGAGCAGGCTTTTCCTCCATAAAGCTGAGCAGTTGCTCTTTTCCCGTCTTAACAGAGTTTGAAGATACTGGACAGTTTAAAATACAGACTTCTGGGTGAGGAACTGGGCACAATTTGGGGATGGGGCACTGTGATGAGAATTGAGGACTCAGGGAACACAGGCATGCTGTGATATTCCCAACAGCCCCCTCCTCTAACTTGGTCCCCAGAAAGACAACACCCAGGCCCAGACCCTGCAGGAATTGCAAGATCTTCTCTGTGTGATCCAAAGAGCTAAAGAGGAAGCATCCTAGAGAAACTGACATGGGGTAGGCACATAGCTCTGTGGTAGAGGGCTTGCCTAGCATACATGAGGCCCTGGGTTCATGGTCTCAAGAATCAGCACTGAGAAAGAAAGAAAGAGAGAGAGAGAGAGAGAGAGAGAGGAAGGGAGGGAGGGAGGGAGAGAGAGAGAGAGAAAGGAAGAAAGGAAGGAAGGAAGGAAGGAAGAGAGAAAGAGAGAGAGAAAGGAAGGAAGGAAGGAAAGAAAAGAAAAGAAAAGAAAAAGATTGATAGAGAAACTGACATTGGGGGCTCCTCAGGTAAAGGGTTATGAAGAGCACCTTGAGTGAAGTTGTTACAAACTGGCCCCATGTGCACCCACAAGGTTCCAATTAGCCTTGCTTTTCCGCATTCTTGAATATAACAGACAAGGAAGAGCCACCTGACATCTGAGGAAAGAGTCCAAAACAATAAAACAAACATCAACTTGCACAAAAGGATACAATCCTTAGAAAATCTCTAAGACAAATGGTCCAGTTTCTTCAACAAATTACATGGAAAACAAGGAGAGAGACAGCAGACCCTGTATAGATTAAGAGATTTCAAACACATAATGACCAACAGTTGCACTGTATGAACCTTATTTGAGTACTGATTTGAAAAAATCCAACTGTTTTGGTTTGTTTAAATATAAAATCATCAGTAATTTAAATATTAGTTGGATATTCAATATTAAGGAACTGTTGTTAATTGTTGGTTTTAGGTATGACATATTATGGTTATGTTTAAGAGTTCTTATATGTTATATGTTAGTTCTTATATGTTATATATACGGAAATATTTATGGATGAAATGATATGATGGTTGAGATTTGCTTCAAGACAATCTAGGAGTGGATTGATTAAATAATTGTGGCCATAGGATGAGGGAACATGAAAATCTTTTGTATTATTCTATGTTTGAAATTTTCCACAATGGAGAAAAACTATCATAAGAATCCTCAGAGAAGACAATGACCCTAAGACTTCTGACCCTAAGACAGAACCAAAATAACATTAAGAAAGGAAACATTCAGAGTATTTTAGAAAGCTCCTATAAATAAAAAACTAATAACAGAAATAGTATAGACACTAAAGAGCTGGGGGAAAAAAATTGACAAATCCCAAGGAGTACAGCTAAATGTTATTAGAAATGAAAATAAAGAAAATATTTTAAAAGTTGGAGGACCAGTCCAGAAGGTCCAAAATCTGAGTAATGGTTCCAGGAGAGAAAAGAAAAACAAGAGGAAAGAATTCATTAACATAATAATTTAAGAAAAGTTCCCCAAACTGAAGACCATGGATTTCTAAAAGGACACATCAACTGCTCACACAAAAAATGAAAACAGGCCCACAGCACGGCTCCACAAGGTCACTGTGAAACTGCGCAACACTGCAACAAAGAGATTCAGCAAGTTTCCAGAAAAAATAAAGCTCCAAACTGGATTATATATAAAAGATTAGGAATCAGAAGTATTTGGAATCTCACAACAGAAAAATCTCAAAGGCAATGGAGCAATATCTTCAAACTTCTGAGGGAAAATTATCACCAATACAGAGTTCTATATCTAGCCAAACTGCCAATCAAAGACGAAGACAGATAAATCTTAAATTTGGTCTTTTCGTGTTATCCCATAACTCATGGTTTTTTACTATCCTCTCTGCATGATCAACTTTATTTTCAAGGTTATATATTTTGTCTTCTTTGCCTGAGGCTCTGTCTTCCAAGTGGTCTAGTCTGGTGGTAATGTTTTCCATTGAATTTTTAATTCGGTTTATTGATTTCTTCATTTCAAGGAATAGAGCTACATTGGATTAGGTAGAGGGGAGTGAAGGAGGGGAGGGGTAGAGAGGTAGGAAGGATGGTAGAATGACTTTGACATTATTACCCTATGTACATATATGACTACACGACTGGTGATTCTTCATCATGTACAGCCAGAAGAATGAAAAATTATACTCCAATTATGTGTGATGTGTCAAAATGCATTTTACTGTCATTTATAAGTAATTAGAACAAAATTTTTTTTTAAAAAAAAAAAGCTTCTTCATTTGATGCAACTCCACTAATCTATTTTTGATTTGTTATCTGTGTTTTTGATATCATCCCTTTGAAATCACTGCCAAGACCACAGTCATAGAGTTTCCCCTCTTGTTTTTTTTTACCCCCCAGGACTTTTATAGCCTTGGTTCTTATTTTTTTAAGTCTTTAGTTCATTTCAAGCTTTATTTTTCTGTAAGACATAAAATCTGGGTCCAATTTCATCATTATGCATGTGAATATTCTGTTGTCCCAACTCTACTGGGAGTTGTTCGCTTGGTCTAATATTGATCCTTGGTGAAGATCAGTTGACTATATATGGGATTTAGTTCTGGGCTTATTTCAATTCCTGTAATTTTATATCTTAAAAATAAAGAAAAGAGATGCCTCCAAAAAAAAAAAAAAGACAAACAAAAGATGAAAGTAGAATCAAAACATTTTTCAGACATGAAACTCAAAAACTTTATTCCCATTCATGTTTTCACAGCAAGGAAATAAAACTAGAAAGGGGAAGAAATGAAATACAGGAAACAAGGGTTCTACCACAGAAGAGGGGTGAAGGGAATCTCCAGAAAGGTGACAAAGAGAGATTCCCATTGCAAGTTACTCCCTATGCCTCAGTTCCCTATCTGTGAAATGGGGAACTGTCGATAGTATGATACCTACCTTGTAGAGCTGTCAGGATGCAGTATAAAGCAAGAGCTGCAAGAGTTGTTATCCCCATCAAGTAATTGACTTTTTATACTTTAACATATAACTTGAAACATTACAATGACTTTTTAAAAAGAAAGAAAGAAAGAAATATAATACACATTTATGAACTCAATGAATTTCTACCTTTGGAATGACTGAAAGAAGTCACAGAACCATAGGGCTTTGGAGGTTGGCAGGGTTCTGAGATCTTATCTTGTACAATTTCCTTGTCTTAAAGAGAAAGAAAGGGAAGCTCAGAGAGGCTAAGTCATTTGCTTAAGAGTACACAGTCACTTAGAACAGGAGTTGGGACCAAATGTCTCATGTCGATGCACTGAAAATCATTAAGTGTAACTACCCAACTATGCCTGCAGCATCCTCAGAGTTTCACATATACCCAAAAAAGAAAATAATAATATTAAAAAAATAATAATAATATTAATAATAATATTAAAAAAGGCTATTTCAATAATAATGTGTCATATTACTCTTAAACCTGGTACTTAAAACTGGCAACACAAACACACACAATCTGTAGGGTTGGTAGACACTGTAGTCTCTTTCCAAGAAAATGATGCTACTAGTAGAAAGACATGACAATGAGAACCAAACAGAGCAAGGTCTGTGAAGCCTTAGTGAAGAGCTGGGGAACAGGCAGGGCCAGGAGGACGCATGTGCTCCTTGCCTCACACAGGCAAGGTGCCCTGACACTCCCTGGAGGTGTGACGGCTCTGCAGGCTGGGTGAGACTTTTCCTGATATGAATTCTATGATCTGTCTTGATCATGTTCCTACTGACAACATTTGCAGAAAATCCCATTCAACAGTTGGAGATGAAGTTATTCAAAAAGAAAATTGCCATTTTCTTATCACTGAATCTCAGAGAAAGGGTACAACTCATTTCTCATCTCTGCTTCTTGCACATTTATTACAAACACCTCTGTAATTGCCTTTGGCGATAGTACATGCTCCATGGCACTCGAAATACCAAAGTGGTGTCTGACTGAGTTAAATATCTTAATATTTTGCCCATTTAGGTGATATGAAAAGAGATAAGAAGAGTACAAGAAAAACTACTATTTTCAAATGTTTTAATCTTTTTTTTAAAAGGCTATTTCAATTTTTTTTAATTAATAAAAAGGTTTTCCTTCCTTTGGAAAGTCAGTCTGACGATAAATAAAAGTCTTATTGGTCACTTAGCCAAGTTAGACATAAATAAATATGAATTATTTAGAATTATTTCCAATTTCTTCTACGTAGTAACATAAGTATACAGAAAAGTTCTAAAAATGGAAAGTTCTGTCACGCCAATACTCACAGAAAAAGAAGGATTCCAGTGTTGGCCAAGGCAAAGGCGAGTCCCAAAATCCCACTGCCCATGATGGCGTTGCTCAGGTTAAAGACGGACATGCCCAAGGAGGTCGTTCCTGGGATCTGAACAAAGAAACACACATTCCCACTAAGTCAGTCGGTCTCCAGGAAAGCCCATCAGGCCAAAGCTTTTAAAGCACTACTAGGAACCAGCATGGAAATCCTTTCTGAGTTGAGCTAGTTATTTTTTTTAAATGGGTTTCAGGAGAAATTACATAGGATATGTGAGGAATATCCTAGTGTACAGACAACTCTGTTTTTGGTACCATGCTATATGAATTAAAACAACTGTCCCAATTTATGTGATTAAAAAATAAGTACACTTTATTATAATGACACTTACATATTCATCACATTTCTTTTTTTCCAAATGGCTGTTTGTGAGACTTCTTCTGCTTTCACGGTCAGAAATAAACTTGCTGTAAAGACATGCATAATATATTTAACCTTATGATAATGATTTCAAGCTTAACATCAAGACTAAAAATTTACTGCTTACCAAAACATATTACATATGAAAACTTATCAACTGGTTGCCTAAAAATGTATTGCCCTATTCAACACCCACTATTTTTTTTGTTGTTTGTTTGTTTTACCAGAATTACTTGCCTACATTTTTGTTTTACCAAATAAATGCTGAGTGCTCCAAAGTAGGTACCTTGCCTCATTTATTTTTATATCTCTCACTCTACCTGGTACCAAAAAATACCTGTAACAGATGCTCATTTTGAGATGAAATGAAACACAACTCTATGTTAAAACAGCTATGTATTTTGAATCATTTTCATAATAAATGACAATATTACATACAATGTAAGTTAATTATTTATGTAGATTTTCCTTTAAGTGGAAAATTAGATAACAAGAAAGACTACTATAAACCTGGCATTTTAAAGAATACTAGAGGCAACCTTTCTTCTGAGTTCATTCATACTCTAGGAGTCCAAGAGTTACTAAATAGAAATTCCCTCTCCCTTGCAGAAACGAAAACTGTTTCATAAATGGAGATTGCTCAGAAAACTTGACCATCACTTGACCCAGTTATCCCACTCCTTGGAATATACCTAAAGGACTTAAAATCAGCATATTACAGTGATGCAGCCACATCAATGTTTATTAGAGCTCAATTCACAACAGCTAAGCTATGGAACCAACCTAGGTGCCCTTCAATCGATGAATAGATAATAAAAATGTGTGTATATACACAATGGAATATTACTCAGCCATAAATAAGAATGAAATTATGGCATTTGCTGGTAAATGGGTAGAACTGGAGACTATTGTGCTCAGTGAAATAAGCCAATTCCAATAAACTAAAGGCCAAGTGTTCTCTCTGATATGTGGGATGCTAACACACAATAAGGCAGAGGTGAGGAAGAACAGAAATACTTTGGATTATACAAAGGGAAAAGAAGGGAAGGGGGGATGGGAATAGAAAGACAGTAGAATAAATCAGACACTACTTTCCTATGTTCTTATATGAATACATGAACAATGTAACTCCCCATCATGTACAACCATATGAATGGGAAGTTATACTCCATGTATTATATGATATGTTAAAATACATTCTACTGTCATGTATAACTAAAAAGAACAAAAATTTTAAAAAAAAAACTGTCTCACCATCAAACATTCTTCTAGAACCTGCCATATGCAAGTCACAGGAGGAGGCGATGGGGCTGATCTGGGGCTACGTAATTAGTGGTGCAGGCACTATAAAGTCTAATTCCTATAGCACTCAGAAAGTTACGGCAGGGGAGGCAGGGCTCATGGTCCACACTTTAGGGGTAAAGCTAGGGCTTTGAGAAAGCATACGGGATTCAGAACTTAAGTTCAAATCCTTACCAGGTCTGGGGGCCTGGGCATGCCCCACCATGTCTGCTCAGGGTGAAATGGGAGTGACATGATGACACTGCCCTACAGCACTATTGGGAGAATTCACTGAGAGTTCATGTATAAAACATGGGTCCAGCACCTAGCAGCGCATGAGAGGGACAGAGGTTAGTCACCCCTCTCCACAGCATGGGAGGGGCCTGAGTTGGGATGGGATACATACAAATATATAGTAGTAAGAATTCAGGGCTGGAGGGGCTGGGGATGTGGCTCAAGCGGTGGCACGCTTGCCTGGCATGCGTGCGGTCCGGGTTCGATCCTCAGCATCACATACAAAGATGTTGTGTCCGCCAAAAACTAAAAAAAATATATTAAAAAAAAATTCTCTCTCTCTCTCTTAAAAAAAAAAAAAAAACATTCAGGGCTGGGGTTGTGGCTCAGTGGTTGAGCGCTTGCCTCACATGTGTGGGGCCCTGGGTTTGATCCTCAGCACCACATAAAAAAAATAAACAAATAAAAAACATTGTGTCCACATACAACTAAAAAATTCAAAATGCTCTAAGAACCATTAGATTCACTGAATGCATTCAGAGTTGATATCAGAACTTGATGGCCTAAATTTCTAATTTTTAAAAAAATCTCTAGTTAAAAAAATAATTTTGTTAAAGGAGGCAAACCACTTCATGTATTCTCAAGACACATTAAGGCTGCATTTTGGTCCTTCTAGGTGTGGAGATCAATTATCTGACCATGGCTAGAACTAATCACAGTGAATTGTTCATTAATAAGTTTGAAACCACCTAAGCTGAACTATTAAAGAAGCATGTATTTTGAAACTGTGCATTATATTTCCAAACACTTTTTGAGTCATGTTGTACTTCACAACAATAAGGCATTTTTTAAAAAATGAATCATATGTTACACTGATGTTGATTTTACTCATCTCCCTTCTTCATCTTTAATCCAAGAGATCTGGTTCTCCCTGGCATTACTTCTCCAAGTTTATACTATTTTGCCAGAACAAGCCAAAGACCAGAAAAAAATATATACTACAAACTCACTCTGAAGCCATCATGTGTATAAACTGCACAATCCGCAGACCCTGCCAGTCACTGTGAAGAACCACAGTGAAAACCTGGTCTCCAGACCAGACAAGGAGTTCATGCTCCACTTGAAATAAGACCGTAGCAGCTAACACCAGTACAGAAATGTTGGGTTGAGCAAAATGAAGATGAGATAAGGAATCCAGAGAAGGAAAAGCAAGTATTGGTGGGGGGATTAGCCAGGGGAAACTTAAAGGCATAAACCTGAGAAAGAGTGTTGCTTGTTTTTAACAACAGCATGGCATCATGGCATTTTTGAACTCTGACAGCTGTATAGCATTGCTGCTAAGGACTGGTTTGGCCTTTCCTTTGTCCTTAATATTCTAAATCTTTTCACAGAATTGAGATTTACAGATCTGGCTGCAGAGGGGCAGGGAAAAGCAGCCTTCCCTTCCAGACTGGCAGCCCAAAGAAATGTGGGTTCTGGACTTTCCAAAATGGAACTGACTCATATTTAAGTCCTGTTGTTCCATAAATACTGAATGTAATCATGCTAATTTGAATGACCAGAACTCAAGTCTACCAAATCTTTACTTAACAAGTCCCCCATCTGCCTTTCTTGCGGAAGAAACTTGTTTTCCAAAGAGAATTTCCATTATTTTCAAATTAAGGGAAAAGCCTGAGCATTTTTTTTTCAAATAAACCCATCAATGGACCACTTTGGCAGATCTCAATACCAGGCCTGGCCAACACTCCTCAGAGTCGATGGCAGAGGACTGGTGGGCAGAGAAGAAAAGGATGTGGGCAACCTGACATGGGGGAGGGGACATTAAATAGGGTCAAACATTGTGCAACTAGAGGAGCTGAAGACTAAGGTCCCTGCCTGGCCTCCAGCAATTTCCTGTGGAACTGCAGGAGATGAAACTGATTTACAGAGCTGTTCTAAGGCACAACCATTAAGGAATACATTAAAGCCTGTTGTTTGCTGAGTGACTCCCCAGCTCTGCCTCTGTTGGTCGGTCCACTTTCTGCAGTAAGACTTAATAGATTTTCCCAAAAAATCTCCACTGGCTTCCCCACTGAATAAGCTTCAGGTACAAATTCCTCACCATGTCATTTCAAGTGCTGCTTAATTTGATTTTGCCTCAGTGTTCAGATCTTAGGTCCCCCTGCAATCAGAGTATTCTCGCAAGTGTGGGTGGAGGCAAGACAGGGCATTCCGAGGACAGAGAATGAAAAACAAGGCGGCAGCAGGAATCCCTCTCCCCAGAGGGGCCCTTAGTCCTCCCAATAAGTCCCCTCCTGCAAGTGAAAACCCTTAGCGATCACAAGTCTTCCTACACTCTGGTTTGAATTGAGTTTTCTCACTCCAATCTACTTACTGCTTTACTCATCCTGAATCCATAGTGATTATATAGTGCACCTTGTGCCTTTCAGTTCCTTCTGTATGCCTCCACCCCGACACTGGCAATTCCCAGGAATATAAACTGAGTGTGAACTGTCTACTTAGGAATTAGGAAGTAGTTTAAGCTGCAGGAAAATTTAGCTAAAGAAGAATATCTTATTCTCTTTGTGGTGTTTCAACTTTTTCTTCCCTTTAGCTTTTCATAATAGTGCTGGGGACTGACCCCAGGGCCTCATGCATACTAGGCAGGTGCTCTGCCACCCAGCTACATCCCCAGCCTTTTTTCAATTTTACTTTGAAATAGATTCTTGCTAAGTTGCCCAGGCTGGTCTTGAACTTGTGACTCTCCTGCCTCAGCCCCATCAACTAGGTAGAATTTTAAAAATATTTAAAGCTTTTAAATCTTTGTGTTCCTATAAACTTTTTTAAAAATGGATAAAAACTAACCTTTTTTTGTAGTGGAAAATTCCATTCAAAATATCTAGGTCAAGCAGCTCATCACAAGTTTCTGTTATCTTATCATTTTAAAAACACAATTGTTTGTTAAAAAAGCACTGACCTCACAGTGAAATTGACTTAAAATTTTTCTTTATTAACTTAAAATGTGCCATGGGATAAAATGTCTTTGACATGTGATCTTAGGATGATGAAAGTAAAGAGTTTGCACTGGGTCAGTCTGTTCCCATAAAGCAGAATTTGATCAACCATTAGGTAGCCAATTGCTCTGTGAAAACAAAACAAAACCCTACAACGGGTGATTTGGTGACCCCTAGTTGGAAAAAAAAAAATCTTTAACCCTGCAATGGGTGATTTGGTGACCCCTAGTTTAAAAAAAAAAATCTTTAGAAGGATGTAAGTATAAGCAGTGAGAAGAGAAGCAAGCAATATAAAAGCACTTATGTAAAACTAAAAATAAATCAACCACCACAACAATCCAGTTAAGGATGAGTTGTACAATGGAAAGATAATCTTCCTGTTTTAATCTCCATTGCTCAGGTTCTTACTAGATTATAGTGCTTCATTTGAGGATTCAGAACACAAAAGAGACAAGAGAGAGTTGAGTGGCTCAGCTTAAATGACCTTTCCTCAAGCAAGGAAAAAGGGATCAGAAAAATGAAGAGAAAGAATTAATGAAATAGCAGAAGCGTTTAAAGAGAAGATTGAGAAGCAAGAAAGCCTTGGTTGGTGAACGAACCCCACTAAACATGGAGAAAAGAGACTTTAATTGTAACAGGAAAGACAGAAGCAAGGGAAGAATATTTTGACATGAAAACTGAATATGGGAAGAAGTTATGGAATCTTCTTCCCTTAAGTATACAAAATATATTAGGAAAAAAGAAGAGAGAACTTTTCAAGCTTTTCAAGGGTCCTCTTCGGTGACTAAAAATAAAAAAAAAAAAAGTCACTACATAAACTCCAAAAAATATATAAAGACCAAAAAAGGTTGATTTAGGGTGCGATGACAGGAGTTACCTCAAGTTCTTTTAAGAACAAATCTTAATGAAAGACTTTGTTAAATAACACCAGGTTCATAACAATGATTATCCACAGATAGAAATGAGAACAGTAGCAGATAAGTATGGAAATATTTGAAGAGTATTCTGGATACACTTAGGATAATCTACAAATATTTCAACAAATTTAAGAGAGCAATAACCAGCAATCATCCAAAACCTAAAGCAATATTGTTGCTCTTTGGGGTGGAGAAAAAAGGAGTCCTTGCCAAAGAAAGAGGGCTGCAGCTTTATTGAGACAGACTTTTCTCATACTAAGAGGCTTACTATTGCCAGACACAGTGCCAAGTACTTTAGGTGGATTTTCTCATCTATTTTCATTAATTACATGTGGTTGGTACTGTTTTCGTGCTATTTTAGAGAAATTAAATAACTTGACCAAAGTTACATTGCTAATTACTAAAGCTGTTGTGCCAGAATTTGAACCTTAGCAGGCTGATTACAGAGCCTAAGTTCTTAACCTAAAATAGTACTCATTACACATTCCCCAACAATTCCATTATTTCTGTCTTACAGGGATGGGCCTGAGCTCAGAGTGTAAGATCACATAGATCTATGACAGAGCCAGGATTCCATATAGGTCTAATTCCACAGCCATCTACTTCACCCCTCCACCCCCCCACACACACCCTTCATTCAAAAAGTAATTATTTGGAATGTCCCCGCTGTGTCTAGTATAATGATCAGTACAAGGAAGAAAGAGATGACTGAGACAGTCCCTCTCAAGAGGCTCACATCTGGAGGGAGCCTAAAGCTTGCTACTCAGAAGTACGGTCCATAGACCAGCAGTTCGGGAATCACCTGGGAGCTTGCCAGGAGTCATGATCTCAGGCCCCAACCCAGCCCTATTGAATCAGCGTCTGCGTTTTAACAAGGTTTCTAAATGTTCCATATGCACATCAAACTATCTATAGCACTGATCTAGTAGACATTTTGAAAGCTTTGTCATTACAGGTAGAGATTTCTAGGATTAAAACCCCAAAATTAGGGCATGAAATAAAATAAAATAAAATAAAAACATTGAACTGAAATAACTGTAGATATTTTAATGCTCAAATGGCTCTCTCTTGGTTTTCACTTTCCCCCCCCCCCCCAGTACTGGGGAATCAAACCCAGGACCTCGTGTATGCCAGAGAAGCACTCTACAGTCCCAGTCCATTTTATTTTTTATTTTGAGACAGGATCTAAATTGCTCAGACTGGCCTTGAATTTGTGATCCTCCTGCTTCAGCCTCCTGAGTTGCTGAGATTATAGGTGTGCACCACCCTGCTGGGCTTCTACTACATCATCATCATCATTATCATCATCATCATCATCATCATCATCATCATTAATTTGGTAGCAGGGATTGAACCCTCTCTAAATTGCTGAGGCTGGTCTCAAACTTGCCATCCTTCTGCCTCAGCCTCCCAAACCTCTAGGATCATAGAGCTCTACTCTATAATAACAGAGTAGAGCATGCCTGGCTCTACTCTATTATTAACTAAACTTAAAAATAATTCTTATTGTGAATTGTAATGCATTCTGCTGTCATATATAAAGAAAAAATATAAATTAAAAAAAGAAACTGAAAAAAATAATAATAATTCTTATTGTATCCCCGTGAGGAGTTTGCAGGCAAAGCCATTAGCTAGATGCCAGCTAATCTGGGTTCAGCATTGTTTTCAACATTTTCTCTAGCATCTTAAAAAGAGTCACTATTACCTGGCAGTTCACTATTTGGGAAGGGGTAGGTTTTTTAGGTTCATATAATTGGTCCTACTTTCTTCCCACAAATGTGAGAAAGCTACAAAAGGAGTGAAAAGTATTCAGGTATAGCTTTTGCAGAAACCATAGATTACTAGAATATGCCAGCAATAAGCCAGGTCACCCATCAAGGGCCTTAAGATTGGCAGGGTTTTTTGTTTTTTTTATTATGTTTTGTTACCTTTATTAGCTTCAGTGTTATCATATGCTATTTTAAATTTAATTATCTTAGAGCCAGAAAAAAAAATAAGATTTGTGAACTATGTCAGTGAAGGAAGGGAAATAAAATGAGGAAAGAAAGAAAAGCATCAGAATGCATTGGAAACAGTGGAACCAAAGTCTACAAAACCAGTGGTCAGCACCCCACAGCTCTGAACCAGCTCACAGGCCGAGTCATAGTCTACGGGGAAGTGAGTTCATGTGGGCAAAGGGCCCAAGTCTCAGATGAGGATGGGTATTTTTTTTTTTCACCTACTGCAAATGGAAATCACCTAAAACTTTAATAGTTTGAGTAAGTAAAACTTTAAAAAATCAAGTTCAGATTCTAAACTGAATGTTATAAATGATGTCGAGGCTATGTTGCTATGAGAATGAAGATTTTTTAAAAACCAAAATGTCCCGCTTGTGACTGTTCAGTGAAGGTCAGCAGTGACTACAGAACACTCCAGGAGTAAAGGGCACAAAATGGCACGGAATCATTAACCTAGCTTTTCAATCAACACCCAAGTACAACCAGACGCAGAGGGAAGAGCAGAAAGACACAGACCTAGACAGCTCTGTATGTGCCCATGAAGAAGTTATTTTATTTCTCTGAGCCTCGGCTTCCTTATTTGTAAACTGAATTTTAAAATTTTCCTCATTTGCAGAAGACAACTCGCCTTGCATCGCAGTTGTAAGAGTATATGGTATCATGTAAAATACCTGGCATTCAAGAATTGGCACCTAGTATGACTCAAAAAAAAAATGAAAGTAAGTAAACTTGAGTCCAATAGTAACAATCATCATCTAACACAATAAATAATACTTACATGATTATTAAGGAAAAGGGCCTGAGTTGAGGACTTAATATTCATTTTAGAGAGGAAAAATGAAAATTCTAAGTGTTCTAAGTGACAGCTAATTCCTTTGGTGGGCTTTCAGTTACTCACTAAATGAGAACACAGAACAGACTACCAGAAAGATTTTTATAATGATATCTGGTTAATTTACAAAATGCTCTTATCTCCCCCTACCCCAATTTCCTGCTGACCTTACCAAAGTGACTTATTGGTGTTCTAATAAATAATCTGATACATACCACTCTCTCTTCTGCTAGACTTTCAGAAGGCTAAGCCACTAACTCCCAAGCCGGACCACTTCCTGCTAAGGATCCACATAAACCAGCTAAAAAATCAGTAAGTCAGAAAATGTCTCAAATCATTTAAAAGACATACTGTTTGTTCTGCTCTTATAATTAAGAGACCCAAGCGTTGGGAGGACTCACCCAAGGGCACATCTACTGGTGGGAGCTTCCAAGCCAGCCTTCTTTCCCCTCCTGCCCCTTTATTTTTCTTTCTCTTTATGTACCATTTCTCTACAATACACTCTCATAATGGCAAATGGGCACAAGTATTTTTATTATCATTTAAAATCCACACTATAAATGGTGCTCATAATGACGACATAATTCTAGTTTTAACACAGGATCACTGGCAAATGCAACGTCGACCACTTCTTGATTCAAATGTGTACCAATGAGTGTAGTACATATTCAGATATGGGATGCAGTGAAATTCCAACAGTCTGTCTAATTCATCAGCACAGAGCTTTTGAAAGTTTGGGCTGGTTGGGGTCCAATGTATTTATACATTTTTATTAGATTCAATTGAAAGATTTGAAAAGATGAATAAATTACTTTCCTATTTGCTTCATCTGCTATTGCAGACTATGCCCAACAGATGTCACATCAGAAATTCAAATTGCATCTTCAAATGGAGAATAACTTTAGTAATGAATAATTCAAACGAATAACGGAAAACCGAAATAATTTTTAAAAGCCATTTCTTTCACTGAATTGAAAATATTAGTGGAAAAATACTCACCTATTTATTTGACCATTTTCTACTTCGGTGAAATCATTGGAATCATTGCTAATGTTATCATCCTCGGGCACTGTCATGTTTTGCAACTCAGTTAATTCGAGTCCACTTTTGAAATGCATCATGTTTAGAAGTTATTTGTAGTCAAAACAATTAGTCCAAATTTCTCGTTTTGAGTGTATGTAGCAGCAGATAGCAGCAAATATATATGTGTGATACCCCTGAAATATAGCAAAATTAAAAAAGACTTAATCATGTGAAAAACGCCACTGATGAAAAATGAACTATTATAAGTAAACAGTAAATTTACTAATAATGCAACTTTTACATTTTGCTAGTAGAATGCATTAAGGCAAATCTTTGCACATCAAAACATAGAAGCCTACCTGTAAAGTTTATGCCTCTCATAAATTCCCCTTTATTTTTAACTGTAAAATGAGTCATATCCTATAACCTTTATGTTCACATTTAGAGGAATGCCTTGTCAGCTCCAGGCAATATAGATACTCTTTTATGAAATTGTGTGTTTAAAATGAAACCGAGTCAGTTATTTTAATGTGTCAGATCACAGGGCACATAATATAACTGGGGTGCAGGCTGCACAGGCACAGAGCACCCTGATGTAGCAATTCCAGTTAAATAAAAATGCAAATCCTCATTCAAGTGGCATCAACAAAGATTGACAGACAACTCAACCTGGTGGCCAACCAAGCAAAAGACAGATATTGTTTTGAAATTTAGCAAATAGTTTATCCATCAACTGCAAGAGATTAAATCAATCTCTTCAGTGAAATCACTCCAATGTCAGGGAATTAAGGAATTAAAAACTCATACTCAGGGGATTTTGGCTAGTCCACCTGCTACTCTATTTCCTCATCAGAAATGAAAGACTATCAGAACTCACATTTTATCCTACACGGATGATTGTGGATTAGATTTCTGAGAGGTCACCAATGAAATATCCAGGAGAGGAAGAAAGAGTTTTGGGGCACCGCATCACAAGTCAGAAAGAAGGTGGCCAGAGAGGTGAATACCAATAAACACTAGGGAGCCTCACTGGGATTCTCAGTGACATAATGGGGACCCACGAATGAGGCAGAATGTCAAAAGGTATTTTGGTTTTTCATACTTCCAAATGGCAAACACCTTGAACGACAAAATATTTTGTCTGATTCTGAATTCCGTAAGATGACTCTAACTTACGCCCATCTACACATCCTAGTATATCCCAGCAAGCATTTTACTCATTGATAATATTTTAAGGACCCATAAAAGTACCTTAGAATGATACTTTTCAGGTGTCCCTTCTTCTCTTTCCATATCCAGGCCAAATATTCCTTTTCCTTTACATGGCCTCCTATCTAGAACGACTTCCCTGGTTTCAGGGTCCTTTAAATTTTCACAACATACTTTCTAATCCCTCACGTTGCAGGAACCTCTTCCTTTTACAGGGCAGGGCCACTCCTGGAAGTCAGGAAGCCAGGACAGAGAAATCTGAACCCTGCTCCTCCTGGCCTGAAGCTGACTGATCTGGCTACAGTACTAGCCTGGCTCTAACTGCTTCTAGTGCCTTCACACAGCACCAATGGTCCCCACCATCTTTACTCAGCAAAAGCTGAAATTCTTTAAACCCCATTCTCACTTCTTGGCCCCCTTTGATGAAAGCTGTTCAGAAGGGCTAACCCAGGTAATTTCTAGGACTCTTGCCAAACTGATTCTGCTTGCATGACTACCTCAAAGGCCACTGAAGGGATGCTACAGGTCTAACAGAAAGCTAATGCAGGCTTGGAGTTTCCAATCTGGGTTAAGGAGTCTTTTTCTCTCTTCAAACTGGAAGGAAGTAGGACACAAGACAAAAATTTTCTGAGGTGAAGAGACGTTGATTAATAATAGATTTGGAGACTACTGTTTGAATTTAAGCTTTCTTTTTCTTCCTTCCCAGTACTGGGGATTTAACCCAGGGGCACTATACTACTAAAATACATTCCAGCTCCCTGTCCCCCACCTTTTTTTGTGGTGCTGGGGATGGAACCCAGGGCTTTGTGCATGTGAGGCAAGCGCTCTACCAACTGAGCTATATTCCCAGCCCTTGTTTTTTATTTTGAGACAGGGTCTCACTAAGTTGCCAAAGTTGGCCTTGAACTTGCGATAGTCCTGCTTCAGACCCATAAGTGAAATTACAGGCATGTGCCTCTGTGCCCAGAATTGAATTTAAACTTTCATATCAAATATATGTGTTTGTGTGTAGTATATAAACAGCACACATGTAACTAATTACTTAAAGAAATGAGCTAAAGACAAAAGACTACAGAAAACCTGGCCAATAAAATCAGGTCAATATTAGACAAATGTCAGTAGGAACTAATCATATGGAATAAATTTTGCTATAAAATAATCTATATGAAATCTAACTTGTTCTGGAATATGAAGAGAAAAACAAGGTTAGTGACACCTATCACCATGTCTGAGGCTACACTTGGGAAACACTATCCATTCAATGTATTTATTGAGTGCTAAGTGATGGAATGGTTCAAAAAATTTGCAAAGTATCATATTCAGGCATCTGGAGGAGCTTTGTGGAAAAGTAACTTTGGACTGAACATTGAAAAAAATTGTTTTCTAAGAGCAATATAGGCTCACTCGAGAATCTTTAGAACAATATCATAAAAGAAATCCTATTCCCTAAAAATGGGCCACTGTTGGATTTTAATGCATTTCCTCTCTACCTTTTCTTCCCCACCTTTTTCTCCTTCTCAATTTATCCACCTCTACAACACCCCACCATTTATTTATTCGTTTGTTTGTTTATTTATTTTTGGCACCAAGGATTGAATCCTGGGGTATTTAACCATTGAGCTACATCCCCAGCATTTTTCTATTTTTTATTTTGAGACGGGAGCTTGCTAAGTTGCTTAGGGCCTTGCTAAGTTGCTGAGGCTGGCTGAACCCATGATCCTCCTACCTCAGCCTCCCAAGCAGCTGTGATTACAGGCGCCACTGCACCTCCCTCCACCCCCCTTTTAAATTTAACATTGTGGATTTTAGATTGTTTTCAATCTACTTTCTTCATGGAATGACATCTTATAAGCATTTTGATGAATAGAAGTATGTTTAAAAAAAACATTAGTTCTTGCTGGGTACGGTGGTGCACGCCTGAAATCCTAGCAGCTCAGAAGGCTGAGGCAGGAGGATGGAAAGTTCAAAGCCAGCCTCAGCAACAGTAAGGTGGTAAGCAACTCAGTGAGACCCTGTCTCTAAATAAAATACAAAATAGGGCTGGGGATGTAGCTCAGTGGCTGAGTGCTCCTGAGTTCAATCCCCAGTACAACTACCCTCCCCACAAAAAATATATTAGTTCTTTATTAATAAACAAATAGGTCTTTGTAAAAAATGGTTTTGCAAATGAAATAAAACAGGTAAAAAGAAAAAAAGTCACCTGTTAAATCAGCAAGAAGAGATGATCACTGGATACGTACTGCTGTATGGCATTCCAAGGTTCCTCTATGCGCATAGATCCGCTGCCTGGCACACTGGAGACACTCAGTAAGTATCTGTTAAATGAAAGAATGAGTATAAATTAAAAACATATAAATTTACAAAGATGGAAATCATGTCAATCATTAATCTTTTAAAATATATATGTATTTTTTTCACTTGACAAGATACCATTTTCTATCCTGAGTTCTGTCAGTAAACCAAGTCTACACTATTACTACATATGCTTGGTTAACTGATTGACTGTGCCAGAAATGGGCATCTGACCCACTATCGCTGGACAGACTGCTTGGTGGAAAGAAGACTGACAGGTGGAGATGGGGCCTGAGCCTAGACTTCAACGCAGAGAGACAGAAAGTACAGGTTGAATTTAAAAAACAAAGAACTACATTTTCACTGAAAGATAAGAAACAATCATCAAACTATACAATTAATTAAAAGGCATGCTGGGGTCATTGTGTGAAAATCCTGGCGTTAACCTAATCGTAAAGACTATCTCTCAACATTTATAATAGGTTACAAATTACAATTCACTTAGCACAGAACACTTCTGATCCGTACCACAATCTTGTAAGATACTTAAGGTAAGCATGATTATCCAGGTACAGTTACTGGTACACTTTACAATGGTACTAATGTTAAATACATAAATTTACTCTCTATGTGGAATTATATACCCAAGGAAGGAACAAATACAAATTTGTCTTGCTTTAAGTCACTTAACGCCTGTTGAAGCAAGCACGGCATCCCATATAAAAGGTGGTATGCCAAAAAAATGTTTGCATGATAGAGATCAAATTACATGGCAGAACAAAGACTATGTCCACAAAGGTTTCAGAGACATACATACACACACACATGACACACATGCATGGGTGCATGAAGGAAGGAAAACAGGAAGGTAGAAAAGGAGGAAAAATAAATAGGGCCTGGAGAAGTCAGGTAAGGCTTTCTAAAGAGACAGGACTTGAACTGTGTGTAAACACAGTTAAGATTAGACTGGAGGTGGTGAAGACATCACTTACACTGGAAACAGTACTAATATACCAACTGCTGATGGTACTGTGTGGTGGGAATGTGTTGTGGGAATGGTAATATGTGGTAGGATGGACAACTCAGTTGTTTCCACCTTTTTCTAGTAGAGTTCACAACGTGTAGGAAGAAGTAAACTCCATTTCCCACACCCTCTTACAGCCAGGGATCTAACAGTGATTAGGTTTCACCATCAGAGAGTGGTGGTGGCGGGAGAAAGCATCCATTTGCTGGAACAACTCTAGCAGGTATAGCAAGTAGGTAGCACTAGAGTCAACAGCTGTAGTCCTGATTCCTCATTGTCAGATCTGGCCTGAGCGATGTGTTCCTGGAGCATGCAATGGTAACAGTGGCTTCCTAGTTTATGACTTCCTGATGTAGGTACAATTAGCAGTTGACCTTAGTCAGCCAGCTGAATGGTGCAGTTATGGTAATTATTCTTAGAGATCCAGCCTAGCGCCTCCTCTGTCTGCAATTTTATAGGTTCTTAATTCCTCATAATAAACGTTTTTGGTTTATCATAGAAAAATCTCAGTTAAAACCTGACTGCGGCTAAAACCTGACTGATATCTTTAATTTTATCCTTCTTTTTATTTATTTATTTATTTACTTACTTACTTACTTACTTATTTTTTGGTACTAGGGATTGGAACACAGGGTCTTATACATGCTAAGCACATACTTTACCCCTGAATTACTCTCCTAACCTCTCTTTTAAAATTTGTATGGGAAATTTTAAATATATACAAAAGTAGACCAGTATAATGAACGACCATTTGCCAATTTCAAAATTTTCAATTCAGGGCAGTCTGGCTGCATTTTTATCCCCACCCACCATCACCTGGAATTTTTCAGCATTATCTTTAAAAGGTAAGCCTGTTATTTTCAACAATACCACCATATTACTCTCAAACCTAGAAATAACAAGCTGTGCGCAATGATACATGCCTGTAAGCCCAGTGGAGGCTGAGGCAGGAGGATCATAAGTTCAAAGCCAGCCTTAGCAACTTAGAGAGGCCTCAAGCAACTCAGCCAGACAACTGATTCTAAATAAAATATTTAAAAAGGGCTGGGGATATGGTTCAGTGGTAAAGTGCCCCTGGGTTCAATTCCTGGTACCAAAAAACAAAACCAAAAAACTCTAAAAAATAACAATTCCTTACTATTACTACATATGTAGCTATACAGACTAAAATTTAAAATATCTTAGGAGTCATTGTTGTTTTTTAAGAAGAACTAATACGACCATACCTCTCCTAGCTCAACTCCCCAAAATCAACTTTTGATAGCTTGGCCAGTGGTTTTGAGACAATAGACATTTCTCCAAACAAGACACAACAGTGACCAAGTGTGTATGAAAAGTGCCCAACGGTCACTAACCAGAGAAATGCAAATCAAAACCACAAGGAGCTATCACTTCACACCTGTTAGAATGGCTATCATCAAAACCTCCAGAGATAACCAGGGTTGGCAAGGGTGTGGAGAAAAGGAAATCCTCATATATTGTTGGTGGAAACATAATTGAGGTTCCTAAAGAAATTAAAAATAGAACTACCAAATGACCCAGAAATCCCTTTACTGGGCATGTACCCAAAGGAAATGAAATCACCACCTCTTAAAGATACCTGCGCTCACATGTTCTTTCCAGCATTACTCACAAGAGTCAAGATATGGAGGAAAAAAAAAAAAAGTGTCCACTGATGGACTGATGGATGGAAACATTAAGAAACTGTGATACACACACACACACACACACACACACACAGTGGAATGTGATCCAGCCTTAAGAAAAGAGCCGGTCATTTGCCACAAATGGATTAACCTGAAGTACACTATGCTAATTGAAATAAGCCAGGGACAGAAAGAAAAATACTGCAAGATCTTACATGTGGAAAGCAAAAAAAAAAAAAAAAAAAGCTGAAAACACATACACAGAGAATTAAACAATGGTTACAGGAGCCAGTGGGGAATGGGAAAATGTAGGCCAAAGGATATAAAGTTGCAGATAGGTAAGAAGAACAAGTCTAGAGATCTAATGTGCAACAGGAGGATGAGAGTTATATTGTATTAGATTGGGGATTTTTGTTAAAAGAGACTTTAGATCTTCTTGTCACAAAAAAAAAAAGAAGAAAATGTCATATTTTATATTTGAAAAAAAAAATATATATATATATATATATTTTTTTTTTAAAGAGACAGTTTTAAGCATAAAGTCCAAATGGCTCTGTTCTTCCTGGCCATCTCTTCCCATAACTGACTGAGCTTGTTCATACATGTTGGGTCCTTAGATCTCTGTACTCTTAGATGACGTTATGTAGATATAGCCATGTGCTAATATGGATATATTTCACAAAGCCTCAGAGAGGCTAAACAAGGTAACATGCCAGGTATCCTCACTTTTAGCTAGATTGTATTGGCCTGGTGTGATAATCTTAGGTTCTAATTGGCAATTTCACACATTTTGGGGGGTAATAAACCTGGGAAGTGAAATAACATATTAAGTTTATGATGAAAACTCACTAAATGTGGAGCTGGGGTTGTGGCTCAGTGGTAGAGAACTTGCCTCATGTGTGTCAGGCACGGGATTGACTCTCAGCATCACATATAAATACATAAATAAAATAAAGGTCCATCAACTACTTAAAAAAAAAAAAAACTCACTAAATGTTATACCTAAGATCTGGACATTGCATTGTGCATAATTTGTACCTCAATTAAAAGCTTAAAGTTGTTAGTCAAACTCTTTGAAACCTGGGAGTTAAGTAATAATAAAAACAGCCTTTAGTGGTGAAAAGGCTGGGAGCCAGCAAACAATGTCAGAAGTGTTTTATCTCCTGTTGCCTAAGGCTCTAGGCTTGCCCTCTCTGGCTTCCCTGGCCTCTGTGCTTCATTCTCTGAGCTCCTTATCTGCAAAGTAACCTTGTCTAGAACCTTGAACCACACCTCCCACCCCCTTTACTGCCAACAGCCTCAGAACTCCTTGCTTTTGTTTTCATCTGTCCTCTGAAATCATGCTTGACTGTTGTACTCTGGCTCCTCCACTACAGAGCTGTGTCATTTTGAGCAAGTAGGTTAACTTCTCTTTGTCTCAGTTTTCTCATCAGTAAAATGGAAGTATGACCCATCTTGAACAGTCACAAAGATTCCATGATTTAGTCCATGGGCAGCACTTACTTTTGTGACTATGTTTCCTACTGTTGCAACCTAACCAAGACAAGTAGCTTTTCCCAATCCTCGGTCTCTTTGAGTCCTCACCTCTCCCACCTTGCTTCTCTCTGCATCCTTCCTGGCTACTTCCTCTGCCAACTCCCTTCCTCCTCCCACCCTTAGCATAAGGATAGCTCTTAGGCCCTCTACTCTTCCTGCTCCACACATTCCAAATTCTTTCCTTTTTAGGACTTCAAGATCCCACAAGGACATCGTTCAGATCTTTTTTCCATTTTATGCAACTAGGATTCCTTTGCATTATGATATAGGATCTCCCTCTTAAATACTCATTGAGAATGATCATACCACTTAACGTGTCCCGTGTTTTTTTCATCTGTAACATGAGAGGGCAGGAGGGAGAGATGATCTCTCAGGTTTCTTCCTGCTTAGAAAAAAAAAATTTCCACAAATTCTTTACCTTCTCAGGCTGCCTGCTGGACTCCACACGTGAAAAACTGACCTCACGCGCCAGCTTTTCTATGTCTGTTTAAGATAATGTACATTCTCCTGTCACCTAGATTTGAAACCTGGCTAACACTTTAATACAAACCTCCTATCTAATCAGTCACCAAGTCCTGCCAACTTTCCTTCATCCTGTCCCATCTCTTCCTCCCTTTCCTTGCAGTCCCACAACCCTCACGTGGTCCCAGTCACTCTCCTCCATTCCACCTCCCAATCCCAGGCCCTCTCCCATCTGTAGAAGACAAATCTTCCTGAAAATGAGTGTCTTGCACATTTTTCTTCCCAACTTGCCAAACATCACTGTTCCACACATCCACAGGGTGAAGTCTAATTACTGGAACCCAGAATGCAAAGC